CCAATGAGGAGTTTAATAGAGTGATAATTATGTTAAGCCAGGTACAGCATTCAAAACAATAAATATCCAATTTACTAAACATTAATACAAATACAAAGAAAGATCACTAAAATAAATAGATCAAATATATAACAAGAATAAAACTCTACGCTGGAAACTTTTCAGCCATTCGCTAACACATGATTAGATAATATAAATATTAATTATAATAAACCGCTATTAAGCATAATATACTGTTAAAAATAGTGAGTAAATAGAACTAAAGCTGTGTATTTTTTAAATCTTCATAAAACTACCACAGATAATAGAATTATGCTCATAATTAAATGAAGTATGGTATACTTCATTTTGACCTATAGTTGAAATTATTTCTTCATTCTTTCTTTTGAATAGTTCATGTTCCTAATTGTTTAGAATAAATCGTTACAATAGATGAAACAGTCGACACCTCTTAAGCTTTTATTTTTAGCCCAGGTCAGCAAGAGAGCCAATAAAATAAAACAAATATAAGCATGGACGGAGATACATCGTCGAAAAAGGTTTTGAAGAATACACACCATAAAACATATCTACAACGATGCATAAACGGCACCTTGGGTAATATAAATTTTCTTAAGAAAGTCTTAGTTTTTTATGCAAGTTTTAGGCCTCGATTCTTTATTTTTTATACAACACATGTAAAAATCTTTTCAATAATAAGGTCAGTTCTGAGTATCATATAAATATTCACGTTTTTTTCACGAGTTGTATTTTAATGTTGTTTGTATTAATTAAGACTTTAATTTATCATAATTATTACCGATACCACCACGTGGCCCCAATGCGTCATGGTTGGTATTAAAGACTGCAGATATAGCCAGAAATAACGGCTTAACGTGCTTTCCGAAGCAAGTAATTTTTGGTCACCCATCTTATTCCGAAAGTTGCTTAACAACTGTATTGCAGACCGAGCGCGCTGACCTCCTCTAATTGTGATATCGCATAAAAAAGGAAGTATAACATAATATTTGAAACTACATCGTTTGAAATATTTCGGCTTTGTTTACGTTTCTGATATTGAGTCGTTGAATGGTTATTGTTTGTTCTGTTTTTACTCATTTTACAAAAAAAGAAAAATGTTGTTATTGAAAATGTGTTTATTTTTACGATACCAATATTTCATGTAGAAGTATTTATTAGTGGTACAATTTGAATTCAATATAATTCTGTATTAACGTTTCTTTATCCAAGTAATTCTTTTATTTACTTAAATACTTATGTTTGCCGGAGTTTAAATCTCAACTTACGATACTTTAAGGAGACATAAAGCTGAGGAGGAAATCAGCCTATCCATTATTAATTCGATAGATAGAGACAGAAGGTGGCGTTCTTGCGCGGCGAAAATGTTTTGTTATTGTAAATTTGCATATTTAAGGCCTCAATACAATCTGACTCGCATATTTCTATACTAATAAAGAGATATAGTTTCTCATTTTGTTTGAGGGTGAAATCTTCGGAAATACCGATCCTATCATGGAAATTCTTTTACGGGAAGCTACATTATAATACGCTGGTGACATAGACTATAATAAACACGGAGGAAAATTGAAGGAAAAGAACTTGTATCAAATATAACGGCAACAAAGAATATATTTACGATTAAACCTTAGAATTTTAAAACCTTAAAATCTTAGACGGTGAAATTTACGTTTTTTCCCAATACATTTAACTTGAATGTGAATGTGAAGTTTTCCATTAATTATTAGTTAATAATTTAGTTAATATTCAATTGTATCATTAAAAGCAAGTAGTTTGCAATCAGTGATAAGCTAAATACATGACCTTTTAATTAAAAATAAAACAATATAGCAAAAAAATGTTTTTAAATTCTTACACGTATGCGTGGACCATGTGATATATTTTTAAGACTTCAAAAACTCTTAACTAAGTTTAAAGTATTATAATTGACTTTTTAATCATTACAGTGTCTTCGATGCAGATTATTTTAATATTTTCATTAATAATAAATAAATTATAAGCTTGGATTTACACCGTGGTAATACTGTTAAATTATAATAACTGGAACTTATCATAGTTCATCTATCTACAATTCAGGAAGTAGATACTCTTCTTGTTATAGGTGAATAGCGCTTGTACCTTGTTAATATCAGGTAGTAAAAATATTTCTCCATTTCGTGTGCAAAGTATTGAAGCATGTAGTGCCTCCGTGGCACGAGTACATCGCAAATTAATAGTGGAATTGCAATCTCACATCTCGTCAAATCAACAATGTGCTTGAACAAATTGGTTCTATTGTTTTGTCAATAGGTCTATTCTCATTCTACTCGTAATTATATATTGTGTACAATTGTACATTGAAACATTTTGATTTTATTGTTTTTGTTAGTTTTATTTTGACGTAATGTTATTTTAGGTCACTTAATATTCAATAATTTTAATTGGATCCAACGGTTATCGTACAGCGAAACAAAACTATTGGACCTATATTATATAACCTCTCACACACACTCACTCATAATTACACATAAAGAGGACAGCCTACTTTATAATATGAAATAAACCTACACTTTATTGATTATATAACATACTAAAAACAAGTAAAAGTTAATTATTTCTGATTGTTAGATCTATATAGTGTGGCTTTATTTTTTTTTACATATTTTCTGAGGATAGACGCACTGTATGCTAAAATACAAGTATCAACTAAATTCAGCAACAAATGATAAATAGATATTAATAAAAAAATTATAAGAATCAAAGAAAAAAAAATATTAAGTTGATTTTATTATCAAAATCAAAGTAACACAGCGGACTTATTCCTATTTTATAGCAAAAATGTGTAAGTTAGAAGAGGACAGACGATGAAACTCAACATGACATAACAAAATATAGAATTCTCATGCCGTTTTTACACTGGTCGTGACATACGGATACGGATCGGATCTGGAGTTACGCACTAGCCATGATTCTAGCGAATATTAGCGAATTTTATGATGATATTTCGTTTCATTTTACTACTTTGACAAGCCTTTTAGTGGATAAATTTGGGATAAATGACTAAGGGAACAACGCTGCCAAATTTATGATTATCATTAATTTTTTATTACTTACACATGTAAGTACATGTTCAAGTAGCGCTGTAACATCGCTAAGATGTCATATCCTATAGCTAGAAACATGACTAAAGGAGGCGGTCGCTCTGCTATGAGGCTAGGAACAGCTTTCATGGAGTGCTAGCACCGATTATGTAATTACAAACGCTAGTTTACATATTACTTGTCAGACATGATAAAAGTTGATTTCATTAGTTTTATTCACACCATGACAATATGTTTCTGAATAGGGAATTGCTAAAAATAAAAAAAATACAGTAATAAATCAGTAGATTTAATTGAATACGTTAAACATAATACTTTTTATTGTTTACTTATAGCGTAAATCTGTGTAAAGTAATTAGATAAGATATAATAACTTTTTGCCAATGGCTTCACCCACGTGGTTCTGTATTGTACATATAAATCTTTTTCTTGAATCACTCTGCATATTGACTAAAACCACATTAAAAGCTGTTGTGTAGTTTGAAAGATCTCAGGGTAAAGAAAGCGGGAACCGACTTCGTCTTATACTCATACTATGTACAGTACAGATGAAGTACCGAATTTACACTAGTATCTACACTCGACAGAAGTAATAACTCGTGAAAATGTCTAAACTTAACCCGCCGCTTAAAGCAGCAAAAGTTTTTTTAGTTTAAAAACTATTGGTTGGGGGTTTAGGTGATTTTTTCCATTTTATAAGGTTTTTTGAAGTGGATTTCTACATGAGTTTTGCTGTAAATCAGATGCATGGATTAAAGTAAAAAAAAAAAACAAAAACAATTAACGCCATGCTTTTCCTCTGAATATTTGCAAAGCGCAGCGATATGACAATGTGTAGACTGTTTTTAGAAATCACAGTCGCATAGCCGCCAAGAGCTTACTTGTCAAATTTCAATGTAATGACTGGTACAGTAGGACTTCGTTAACCGGGTTCTGTCTGTGTGATCAGGATAGGTATCTCGACTCTACACACAGTTTAATTACTGAGCTAATTTGCGTTTGCAAATTGAAGTGACTTAAATTATAGGACTGTACCAAAAAACGGACAAAAATGCTTTAAGGGTGGAAATACTTTAACCTAAAAACGAGAATTTTAATGAAGTAAAAGCCGTTAATAGCTAATAATAATAGTATTTGAACTATGACCAGTACTTTTTTTATTCTAATTCTGGTTTATATGGAAAACATGCTTATGTTTTGGAATATTATTAAGAAATTAATTCTCTCGACTATAGTAACGAAGGTTAGTGTTGTGAGTAGTCGCATCGATCCACATCCAATTTCTCAGCTGATCAACTTCGTGTAGTGCAGTAATACCATCGAATAACGGCCGCGCCCAAGTATATCTACTATTCACGGATAGAACGTAGTTTGAATAGTAACTTTTTGTCGGTGTATAGCGGGCATAACTTTTTATACACCCCACGACTTTTAAATATTTTTAATACATAAACAATTTGTAAAGATCGGCGATTGTCTATGTATATGACTATGACAATGAAAGTGGATGAGACGAAAGATGCATTTCAGGGCCGTACATTGTGGCGTTTGGTCCTCTCTGCCTATCCTGCAAGGGATAGAGATAGATTTAATATATTCCTATATAAAAACAAATCATATTATATCCTATATATAAATATTATTTTCAGTTTTTGAACGTAGTAGTATAACTAGCCAGCCTAATCAGAAATCTATTTATTAATATATACAAAGCAGGTGACAAACGGGTGAAAATACAAATTAAAAGTATGTTTTACAGTGATCGTGATTATATAACAATGTATTAAATAGGTATAGGTGTAAGAAAGATTTTTAACAGGAAACCTGTATGTTATATTCAGTTAGTATTAAAATTAGTTGTATGTTACAATTACATGCAAAAAGTGGTAGTTGCATAAAAGTATGAATCTAGGAGGTAGTTCTTTATAGGAATTACTTAAGTGCGATAATGAATTCATAACATTAAATTAATTTTCGTACATAGTTTAAAAAATAGTTTTTAAGTGCTCCTGTAATATTTATTCAAACGTAGTTACGCATTTGGATAAAGATATAGGCATATTACTAAAAGGCTCCTTACGGATAATTATAGTATAAACTATGCGGGCGAAGCCATTGGCGGTAAACTTATTGCTATGGCAATATAACATATGTGTATAAATGTAAGCTAATAAAACACGTAACCCAAACAATCTGTTTAAAACCCTTTTATGAGGTACAGCTGCTATGCTAAATCAATAAAATAGCTTATAGCAGGTTGATGGAAGTAGTTGAAATTAATTATAGTAATTTATGATATATATAATTCAAAAGATACTTCTATGATAAATATTTTAAGTCTTATATCATAATAAAGTAAAAGACAAGTTCTTGGCTTATTATAAACTTTATTGTAAGATTAATAATATAAAATGTAATTGGTTTCGTGAAATTACGGCATTTTAGATTCCTTTTCATATTATTTCTTACAGAGAATGCTATTATGTACTATTACTATTTATATTTAATGGGGACTAATAAAAGCTAAAGGGCAATTTCTCTAGAAATGACGATTCAGTATAAGTGGAAATTACTTAAAATTAGGTTCTATTTTTAAATTAAAATCGATTAGGAAGGCAATTTAAATATCATTGAGATTCTGCTCGCTCACTTTGTTAGGTTGGTAGGTAATAGCCGTTAAAAACTTATTCTGGTAGATTTTCATGTGCTTTGACTATTAATTATCAAAAATAAGATCGAATCTAATATAGTTTTTGCTGAAGGTAAATTTTGGGTCAAACATCAAAATATTATACAATCTAATACACTTGAAATGTTTTCCATCAATTGTTTGTTTGTTCACTGTCTTCATTGCTTGTTTACAGTCGCCCCGGAGCCTGTAATAAACTCACCCCGACCGCTCGGTCAACAATCCCCCCTTCCGGGGATAGAGGAAGAGGATGATTCCGACTGGCCTTTAGAAGACGCGACAGATGCTACTATCACACCATCATATAAGAGCACGAAAAGTAGCACGGATACGGTGTTCACATCATCCCGGAGTTCGGGGAAGAAGTATAGTTTTGGTAGTCCGTCGTCTGTAAAGATATGTATATCGGCTGCAGCGAGGAAATCGAATAAAGCGCGCAAGCGTGGATCGGGACAGGCGGCGCCCGTGGCCGGCGAGGAAGCCGCGCCCGCGCCTCTCGGTAAAATGCAGGCGGAGCAGGGTAGCATCGGTGAGCTGCAGAAGTACCACGGCAGGTACCTCAAGAGCCGCCGGCACACCCTCGCAAATGTTCGGTAAGTTTGTTGACACATAAGTATAGTAGGAGATATGCTCTTAAATAAATTTGTTCTATTCGATTTGGTTTTGTATATGAATAATACAATATCCTAATATATTTTATAATTATTAAATGTATGTGTTGGAATGTAAGATTTGGAATTAGCCGTTGATTTCGAAGTTACTGCAACACTCAGTTAGTATAATTAATAATTTTACATATATCTGATATAAAAATAACACTGAAAAATCTGGCTGTATTATGATGATAGGAAAGACTTAGATTAGTAAAGAGTAAATTATGGTAAACATTTGATAGTCTATCTGACCCATTATCTAGAATGTCATCGGTTATTCTATTTATAAACTGTTACGTAAACAAGTCATAACTTTAGTAATATAAAATGATTCACCACAGTTAATAGACAGACTGCCATAAAATCGTTTAGGAGCTAGGTAAGCCGCATTAATGTTTTTTCACATAATTATAACGTTAAATTGAATTTAGAACTTTTTGAAAAGTTCATAACTTTTTTATTATAATCGTTATGAAGCAAAAAGAAAGACTTGTACAGAATGTTTAATATGCAGCTTCTTATTTTCAAAATACGTTTGATAAATTTTCATAAATTAAAAGAAGTATAATATGAACAATTTGGAACGTATTTTTCTGTATTTATTATCTTTGTTATATTTTATCGGAGAAACACAAATATATAGGTAAGTTAGTGGTCGAAATTTTGATACGATAAATTTATTAAATGAGACTACTCTAAACGGTTAAAGTAGTTTCATTTAATTAGTAGTACGCGTGAAAAAATAAGAAATCACCTTGAATTAATTTTTAAATAATGAATCTATCAAAATAAATATAAGTAAAGTAGAAAGTAGATTTTTTTTTGATCGAAATTGTTTCATTAAAAAAATCATAAAGCAGGCAAAAATTGCGGAACTGTTACGTTTGATTTTAATTAAATAATTTGGATTGCTACTATTATCGTGTGTTAAGAAATCCTTGTTATTTTTCTGAAGGAAAACACATTCTTATATATAATACGAATTGAACAAACGGTTGATCTTTTTTACAGGCTTTTTATGTTTAGTTAGAAATAAAAATAAAATTTCGAAACGATTATGTACTCCAATTATGATATAAAATAATTAGGCAGGTTAAGTGTGACTTTAGTTAGGTTAAATACCCACCTCGTTTTACCATCTGTCCCATCTCACCGGGCAACGTCCCATGCTGTGGACATTCGGACAAGCTTAGGGTTGCATATTAAACAGTCCCATTACTCTATCCGATCTATTTATTACCATAGTAATTTTTTTACATTATAGATGAATACCATCTGTTTATAATGAATCGTTTATGTTTAATAATAGCAAAAAATATTGTATCTGCATTACATTTTGTTTCTTTCTGGATATGACACTATCATATTTCGTAATTCAGACTCTTGTTATAATAGCCATAGCTTTTTTTGTTAATCAATAAATGCATATGTTTGTTAATTTTAAGAATATTAACGATTTTACTATTCACTTAATTTTAGTATTTATTCATATATGTTATCTGCCTTCATGTTTGATGACAATTAATAGATAGTCTGATTACTATTTACACCCCTAATGTACTCATTTCAGATTTGCTTTAAATAAATAGACCGTTGAAAATGACCTGTGATGCCAACTTTGGGCCACAGAGCTTTCTCTATAGATGATATCGAATCATATCGAAGTTCATTCAGACTCTTGTTATAATAACCATAGCTTTATTTGTTAATCAATAAATGCATATGTTTGTTAATTTTAAGAATATTAACTGTTTTACTATTCACTGAATTTTAGTATTTATTCATAAATGTTATCTGCCTTCATATTTGATTACAATTAATAGATAGTCTGACTACTATTTCGTCATCATCTCAAGGCTTCCTTAACTATTTTGATGTAGGTCTCCTTATTTTATTTTCACTTCATTAAATTTTGACCCACCACTTCTTTCCATCATCATCCATCTCATCTATGGTCTACCAACTGGTTGTTTATATTTCCACGGTCTAAATTCTGATAGATCTTTGTACCATCGGATTTACGGTCCACATGACTTGTCCATTCCCACTTCAGTTTCGCCATTTGGTTCACAATGTCCTTACTTTGTTTTTCTCAACCATTCATTTGGCTTACACTCTCTGAGAGTTACTCCTATCAGCTATTTATTTTGTTAACCAACTTCAAAATCTAAAAGAAGAAGGTTATATGTTTGATGGCGATGTAGGTTTTTTTAAATGTATGTTCACCGATATTTTCGTCAATCGTTGACTGTTTATCAAAATTTTTATTCGACAGCTCGATGGGTCGAGGTGGTACCATTTAAATTTTATAGAAATCGAAAGTTGTTTTCTTTTATAACAAAACAAAATATGCTTGACGACAGACCTAAATATTAAGATGACAGGGTCCATTTCAGCTAAAAAACAAAAGATTGCATATTTAAAATTCATTTAAAATCTGAAAGGAAGATTTTCTATGTCCAACGAGTATGTGTACTTTACTCATTGATTTATATTTTTTTTATGAAAGTCATAGATAGTAAGTATTAATGAGTAAAATATATATATATATATATAGGGGTAGGTATGTTCAATAATTTCTTTTTGAATTGTGAAACAATTTCTCTCAAACTAGCTGTTTCCCCGCAACTTCGCTTGCGTAAATTATAGCCTATGTTCGCCGGGTATTATGTAGCTTCCCGTAGATAAAAGACTTTTATAAATAGGTCCAATAATTTTGAGGCCTATCCAATGCAAACAAACAAGCAATCAAATCTTTCCTCTTTATAATATGAATATAGATTATTGGAAAAAATTAAGTCGAGCATGTAAACAAAATCTCTTATTCTAAGACTTTCACTATTTTAAATATTTTTAATTACATAAGATATTTAATATTTTTAGTATTACCTATTATATAAAAAATATCAATATCACTGAAACATAACATTCTATAAAAAGTATAATCGACTTCAAACTTCAAAAAAGTGACAAACAATGTTTATCTCCAAAGTGACTTATTCAAGAAAATGCTATTGAAGACGGGCGCCTATCCTTTATTAATAACCTAGAGAAAATCTCCGTCCGACTTCAACAGCATTTTCTTGAATAAGTCGCTTTTGAGATAAGTATTATTTATCACTTTATTAAAGTTTAAAGTCGGCTCTACTTTATGTCCGAAGTTTTTTATGTCTTTTTCATTTGTTATAACATATTTTTTATTGTTGACAAAACACGTCCAAATATTTTGTTGTTGCATAGTACACCCCTAATGTACTCATAGTGATTATGATAGATAGCTGACGGGCAGGGTGATAGATTTCTGTGTCATCCATAGCTACGCGTCAATACGACCTTTTCCCCACAGATACCTCATCAATATATCTATGTGTAACCTAAATATTTTTCTAAGCGCGATCCCATGTATCATTGTCTCATATAACAGAATTTTATATATTTAATATTCTGTTTGATGTTACAACAACAGTTTTCTTTAGATAATGTTAGTGTAAACTTATGGAACATAGTAGGTAATGTTTTTTATAAAAATATTTGAAAGTATTTTTTAAGAAATTTAATTAATGAACCAATTAATAATGATCATTGAATCTTTGGAGATGCTTTATAAATGTGTTATTAAAAGGGCACTTATGAAATTAAACTTTCTGAACAAGAATTAGAGTTCATTTGAACGTTGTCTACGTTTCTATGCATAGTGATTGTTTTCATATTTACTCTATGAAAACAAAACAACCAAAGATAGCCTGTAAACAAAACGCAAAGCTTTAACCTCTGTGAGTGCAGAGATCAATAAATAGCGTAAAGAAAATGAACAAAGGCGAGTGAATTTTCTTTTTTTATTAATCTAATATAATTGGATTCGGAGCTTTTATGAGGTTACGGAGATGATAACAGTATATAAATTCAAAAAAAGTTTGTAATACAGCACTACGTGTCGAATTAAAAAATGAAAACAAACACGTACTTCTCGTATGAATTAACATGACATCTGAAGGCCTGTTTTACTTCTATGAAAACTCTATAGAAAAGCATTTTTCTGAAATTTATAGTGAAACGGAAGTAGGAACTTATACTACCTCTGATGCATAGATAGTCTTCTCGAATATGATTTTAGGAAAATTATAAATATAATTTGTGATTTCCCGAATTTTTCTGTTTATAAAATGAAATTGATATAACAACAGTTAAGTTTGAACTTAATTGTAAACAGATTTGCTTTAAATAAATAGCCCGTTGAAAATAATCTGTTCTTTCCCTATAGATGATATCGAATCATATCGAATAGGGGGAATGGGCCATGATCCACAGAGAAGCTAGCGATAGTAAATTTTTGGTCACCTTTAGAACCGTATTAGCAGACCAACCGCGCTACATTGAATTGTGCTGAAGTTTATTCAATAAATCCATTATGAAACAAGCAATGAATACTTTTATGAAACAATTTTGTCAAATTCAATTTTATCAAACGCAAAAAAATAACCTATGTTACTGACAGCTTTTAGTAGTTGAAATAATTTTTATTAACGGTTCAGTAGTTTCAGAGCCTTTTTAATTCAAACAAACAATCATAACTTTCCTCTATTTAACATAAGTATATATTTTTATTTACGTGTCTTCTTGATTTTTGCATTTGTGATGTAATCGTTTGTAGTGTCTCACATTATTTTTATAGATATAGAACTACAAACACGTTATAAATGCTGTAAATAAATAATTCACGTTCTGTATCGATTAATGTGGAGTGGATGTTACCGTTACAGTTTTCATCGATCCAAACAAATATGTAAATTGACGTTACTTACTAAGAGGAGGAGGTTCTCTATTTATTCATCGCGTATATATATTTCTTTGTGTATATTCGGTGATGATGCTGCAAATTGTTAACCGACTTTTAAATGTTTTATTATACAACTTATGGGCATGCGGTGGTCCCGTATATACACA